GTGCGCGTGCGCGCGCGCACGCGCGTATGCGTGCCTCTGTGCGTGTGCGTATGCATTCGCAGGTGTGTCCGAGTGCGTATGCCTTCGTATAAAATTATAAGAAAAAGCGCGAGGAGCACTAGTGGCGTGCACAAGTCGGAGGCTGAGGCGTCGCACAGCCTGGCCCAGGCCCATCAATCTGCAGACTTATCAGGCGTCAGGCAGTAACACACACGGTTCCCCTGTGTCTCCGCACTCTCAGAGCCGGCGCTGTTGAGTTGTCGTACACACTGAGTCAGCACAACAACAACAACAACAACGTCCGCAATTCGTAATGAACAGATCAGGCAACGCGTTGTTGTTGTTGTTATAGTTGTTTGTTGTGGTTGCTCTTGCTTTTGCTGATATTGTTAATACTGTTATTATTGCTGTTGTTATTGTTGTTGTTGGTTGCGGTTGCTTTTACTCTTGCTGATATTGGTAATACTGTTATTATTGCTGTTGTTATTGTTGTTGTTGCAGGTGCTTCTGCTGCTGCTATTGCTGCTGCAGCTGTTGTGGCTATCAATTAGCTGCGTGGAGTCGTGGTTCCCGGCCTGTCAGTGTCACAATGTCAAGGGTTCGCCAAGCGCACGTTAAGATTATAGAGTCACAGAAACAATGTTCACATTAAGCACAACAACCGATTAGGTAAGCCGAATCTCTGAAAACAAATTAATCAGACTAAGCAGATAAATCTAGAGCGCCCTCGCTCTGAGAACCAGCACATAAAGTCGTTCAGCACCAGCGATCGAACATACAGGGATGCCAGTTCCGATCTTATGGTGAATTACATTCCTACTCCACGTCCCTCTAGCTTTTTTTTCATAACATCGATCAACCTAATTAGCGACCAAAACTGGCATTTCTATGGGTGTCAGCCGACCTCATTAGAAGCCAAAATTAGCTCTGACTTCCATGGCTAATCAAACGGATGAATTACGCCGAGATGACAGATAAAATCTGCCAACGATTGATCGACGACGCGAGTCATTTATTTTTTAAATAGATTCTTTCCACAAGAGACTGCAGTCATTTCTTACTGTTTTCCCCCTAAACTGTATGACGCTGACATTTCGGATGGATCGTCCATATTTTTTAATTACGAAAAAAGGGGAAAGATGAGGTTGCATGTGCTCAGAACTAGCAAAACGCCAACATTTTTGCAGACAGAAAAAAATGTAAGCGGGATTCTTTAATTAACGGAACGTTTGTGCCTTACTACAACTGTATATCACACGTCTAGCTTGGTTCCAAAATTATGTTTTCGTACACAAAGTACTCATAACATTCATAACGGATAAATTATGGCACTGACCGATCACCCCAGAAACCACGTGTATTACGTAAATGTGGACGGACACATGGGACTTTTTCCGAAATATCCCAACTAGCGGGTACATGTTGCCGATAAATTAATAGCTGTATTCGATTATTCATTTTATTTCTAATTCTCCCTCCTAGCTCCCTCCTAGCTCCTCCCCTCCCTCAATGTCTGTCTGTCTGTCTGTCTGTCTGTCTGTCTGTCTGTCTGTCTGTCTGTCTGTCTGTCTGTCTGTCTGTCTGTC